ATTGATCCAAGATTCTCAGGAAAACGATCCATATGTGAAAATAGATAATGCAGTTTGATGCTCATGTTGCATCCGAGTTTTTTGAAAGCAGTCACCATATTGTTGACAAGTTCAGCATAGTTTCTGGCCTTGTTGTTGCCAAGGAAGTTTTTCACAACGAGAACAAAAGCATTCCATGCTTCCTGTTCCACTTTGTTCATTGACTTTTCAAACTCTGGATCTCTGATGAGCCGACGGATTTGAGGACCGTCAAAGATACCAGCTTTTAACTTCACTATGGTTACTCCCGGAAATGTCTGGCACATGTAATTGAAGCAGCCACCTTCCTTGTCTAGAGCTTTTGTGAACTGCTTGATCAAGCCAAGCTTGATGTGCAGTGGTGGGAAGAGTATCCTGTCTCTGTCCACCAGAGGGCTGTTGATAACGTTACTTGCTCTGCAAGGCACTAGTTCCTCTCGCACAGGCCAGTCCTTCTTCGTGTAATGGTGAGCAGTGTCCCTACTGTCCCACATGCACAGAAAACATGGGTATTTGGTGAACCCGAATTGTTGCCCCGACAAAAAATTCACCATCTTCAGGTCGACACAAATAACCCACTTATGCTGATCATAACGAATCATCTCCAGCACATACTTCACCGCTTCATACTTCTCCTTCAGTTTAGTAGAGTGAGCAAGGGGCACAGAGGCAAACTGGTTGCCGTTGTGCAGTAGAACACATTTCAGTGACCGCTTGCTGCTGTCAATGAACAGTCTCCAGTCTTCGGGCTTGTACTGCGGCACTCCCAGGTGGTGCAGAAGCTGTGCAATATCTGTGCAGTACACCAAGTCCTGCACCTCCGAGAAAAATTGGAGGTACTCTTGATGCCTGTTGCGGTACAGGGTGATGCGAGCACAGCCAGAGAGGAGGTTTTTTTTTCAATCTGGATGCCAACAGTTCAGCAGAGGCCTTTGACAAGCTGAGGTCGCGAACTAGATCATTTAGCTCCTGTTGGGAAAAAAGCTGTGGAGTTTCATCGTCAACAACTGGCCATTCTTCTTCTGTTTCCTGATCTTCATCACTGGAGGATTCGTCATCACTGATGTCTTGAAGTTTGTGAAACACAGGTACTGGAATATCATCTCAATGAGCTACAGGACGACGTGCGGATTGCAAATCAGGATACTCGAGGCTGCTTCGGTTCTTTCTGTTTATCCCAGTCAGATCGATGCTACAGAAGTAGCAGTCAGTGTCATGGTTTCTCTGCTCCCGCCAAACCATGGGAATTCCAAACTTCAGACACGTCTTCTTGCCCTTGGTCCACTGACGCAGATACACGGTGCAAGCCTTGCATACCATGTGTGGCGCCCAATCTTTATCCTGGTCACCAAGTTTAATACCAAAATAAGCATGGTAAGCACGCTTTATGAAACATGTGACTTGATTCCTGTTATGAACAAGTGTGTATTCACCGCGGATATAGCAAAATACGTCGGGTTTATTTTTACAAGATCTTCTCTTGGAAGCCATGTCGTTCGCTTGCGATTCGTTTGCAACTGATACCTATACTAATGCAATCTGCTATATGGCTCAGATTTGGAAAATGCTGACGTAACTATCCATAGTTATACACAGCCTCGTCCGGGCATGTCTGCAATTGTCTGATCACGTGACTGTAGTTACGTGATTTAATGCATTGAACGTGTGTGTGTGTGTGTGTGTGCATAGGGGAAACATAAAAATACCAATTAATTAAAAATTGCAAATTCCTCATAGTGATGAAGTGATTAAGAACAAAGCATCACATACAGCGAAAATACCTGGGACTGTACACAAAAAAGTGAAAATGAAGATATGGCCATAGCTTAGAAAGTTGACCTGATCTAGAAAAACCAATGTGATATTTGGATTCAGGACATCAAAATTTCCATAAATCAGCCGAAAGACCTTAGGAAATTTTTTGGGTGTTGACCAGTGTTATTTGTTCGAAGATTTTCTTTGATCTGCTCACAACTACGAAGAGTTACTCGTTTTTTTCAACTCGTGTTTCATCAGGCCATAGAGGATTTTTTTCACCTCGCTTTTCAATTTTTCACTAAATAATAACTTTTTATTATTTATGCCAGCTTCATTAACATCAACATTGTCATACTCTTTATTATTGACCTCTAAAGAATTTATTTTTGACTTTAGCGCCAACACAGACTTTCCATAGTTTTCAAAGCTACTTGAAATAAACATGTGTTGCTTTGTCAACATGGCTCGTATTTCATTTTTAATAATTTCAAAATTTTTCTAAACACATTTTTCAAAATTTGGAATTTTTGACATATCAGCCCTAACGAACAATGGAAGTTTATCCAACGTATTGGCAGCAATAACACTTTTCAAGATTTCAATACATTCCATTAGTTTGTCCTTTTTCTGAGTAACTTTTGAAGCAGATTTTTCTAATTTCCTATTTCAATTTTCAAACTTTTTATAGCAGTCACAATATCCTCATGAGTATAGAACTCAGCAGTGTTGCTAATAAACTATCAATCAATCAATCTTCGTTTTGCGTCTAGAGTCCCGGTTCCCCGAGGTAGGATGTGTTGCTAATAAACTCCTCACTATTAAACGAATTAACATTATTTATTTATTAAAAAATACAAGATTTCGTTAACAACATACTGTCTGGCAGCCATTTTTTTACATACATGTTGTTTGATGCAAAAAAAAACAGTTTTATTTAAATATATAGAAAAACAAAAGCAAAATAAAATCACGTGGTTTGATTCAATATAGCTAATATTTTACAAAAGTTTTTAAATTCTTCAAATTTCTTAATTATTTGAATATTTACCAAAAATTATACAAATTGTTTGATGCAAAAAAGTTTATTGAACAATAATAATTAAATTTTTCGAAAAAAATCCAAAAAAGCAATATGATTTGGTTAAATTTAGCAAACATTTAACAAAGTATACATTCTTTAAATTTTTTGACTATTTGGTTTTTTTTAAAATTATTAAAAAAATTTATAAAAGTTGTTTGATGCTAAAAAAACAATTTTAATTCAATTTATAGAAAAACAAAATAAAGCATGATTTGATTCAATTCGTCAAACATTTTACAAAGTTTTAAATTCTGCATTAATATAAAAAGCGTATTTATTAGTTTGAATTTTTAATTAAATTTTGCTACCAGCATTAAAAAGAAAGGTTGTGTGCAATACCTTGCAAATAATCAACAGTGTTTCTACCATCATAGGATCTTACAATACTTAAAATTTTTGTATTTAAATTAGCATATTTTTTCCTTGGAGGTTGTAAGGGATGACCAGCCAACATTTGAGCGCAATGTACTTGCTAAATACTTGGTTCTTTTTGTAAAAATTTAATGAACTTCCAAAGTGTTGGGTGGTAACATCCAATGTTTGACTGAAAACATCTCTGCTAGCCTTCAATCGCATTGTTTCTCAACTCATCCTCACAACGCTGACGCATGTTCCTTATTTTTATATCATGAACTGGTTGGCGTCTGCCATGGCGTTGTGGTCTTCCTATATAATTGTCCTCAAAGTAATCTAAAACTGGCAAACAATCAACAGAAAGTGATGCATACAAAATTTCAAATGCTTCAACCACTTCAACTGGTGGAACAAATGCAAGAGCTGCAATCATCCTTAGATTCAATGCAAAATCTGAATTTTTTTATACTGACACTGAAGACCATTTTCCTGAATTTTTCTGTATATATTTTGACATAGGTGAAAAAAATGGCCTTTAATGTCACAGTTTTGAAATTTCCTTTTGAAACTGTTCATTACTGCCAATTCAAAATCAACCATTACTTTAGTTGGGTTTTAATTAACATTTAGCAAAGAAATTATCTCAAACATTTTATTATAAGTTTCCTCCTTTTTGTTTGGTAGTAAAATGAAAATGCAAGGTATTACCCGCCCTTGAACAAGAGCATGAATAGTATATAATTGAAAGAATACAGAATTTGCTGTTTTGAATGTCCCATCCATGAAGCAATGTGATGATGATTGTAAAAGTTTGAGGTTATCATCAGCTCCAAAAATAAACATCCGATTACTATTTTCTCGTCCAGAATCATGCAAAAGGAAATTTTGCCCATCAAGAGTAAATTTATAACAATCTGGAATTTCAACATCAGCCAGATTCAATGATAAAGCAATCGAATTGCTAACAACTTGACGGTGGCGTCTTATATTATGTCGTATATGGCGAACAGTTGGCAATTTAGCTTTAGCATTATCACTTATTACTGAAACGCATCTAGCAACGATTTGTTGTGTTGATTCTAATGTTTCTTTTGCTAATAACTTACATTGTTGTGCACAGGTTAGAACTTCTTTTCTCGCTGCATCTGGAGCATGAGAATTGTACGTTCATTCGTTCTACAAGCTCATGACCACGAAGTTTAAGTTTAGCCTTGCACGAACTAGTGTTTCTCCTTTTTTCGCATTCATATGATACGACACCGTCTGCTAAGTCTTTCAGTTTAACATAAATAAAACCTTCGAAAAGCACTTTTAATATTCCTCTATTAGAATTTACGAATTCAATCAACGAAGCCATCATTACGTGTAATTGAAATCAAATTTATAACAAAATAATAACGATTATTTGTTTCCAACAAAAAATATTGACAAAATTGAATTAAGTTCACAGACATCACAGACAACAAAAATATGTATCGTAAAAGATATGGAAAAACTATTTATCATTGAAAAAACATAAAACGTTAATTTTTTTGCATTAGAAATAAAATTAACAACAGCTCAGTTTGTTCTAATAAATTAGAAATTATAATTTATTTGTCCTTAGAGTTGTTATATGGGGGGTGGATTTAGTCCAGGGGGTATTTTTCTCGGGGGAGGGATAATTGTCCGGGGGTATTTTGCTCGGGGGTATTTGTCCGGGGGTAGATGTCCGGGGGGTATTTGTCCTAGAACCGAATTAAGATACAGTAAATAGATGTAATAAATTGTTTGTTGATGTTTGCTGAAGGTGTATGAGATGTCCACCGTGAAAGACAACTGGAGTCGTAGTGAGGTGATCAAGACGTGGAGGACTGAGGGAGGGGTGCTCATAATGGGCTACGATATGTTCCGCACGCTCTCACAACTCACTCGAGTCAAAAATAAAAAGCAGAAACAAATTATACTGGAGGGCCTTCTAGATCCTGGTTGGTTGGTTTCTGTATGTTTCAAAAAAGTATTCATACATCTGTTAATAAATTTTTCTTGCCAATCCACTTCTAATTTTTATCGTTGTTTCCTTGCAAAAGTGAACACATTGCAAATGAGTTCGATTGATTATTTGTCCAAGTTGAAATTATTTTTGATTTGAATCCATTGATCTGAATCATCGTTATTCGCCACAAATGAATAATCATTTGAGAATGAATAATTGCAGGGCCTGACCTGGTAGTGTGTGACGAGGGACACATACTGAAGAACGATGCAACAGGGCTGTCGAAGGCCTGCGTGAAGATTAGGACCAAGAGAAGGGTGGTGCTGACTGGCACACCCTTGCAGAACAACCTCAATGAATGTATTTATTATTATGCTAATGTTTTATTGTTCATTCATTTTTACGTGATATTTACATTGTGTACATCCTTATTTAGAAAGACAGATTAGTTTGCAGGCTTTAATTGCTTATTATTTGGTCTGGTGTAGATAGATGAAGATGAAACTCTGGTTGAAATTAAAATGTCCATGATAAATTCATTAGAAACAGATATAATAATATTGCAATTCTTATTTCTCCAGATCACTGCATGGTGAACTTCGTGAAGCCGAACTTGCTTGGTACTCGTAAGGAGTTCTTGAACAGGTTCGTCAATCCAATAACAAATGGTCAGTGCTCTGACTCAACGCCGAGAGATGTGAAGATCATGAAGAACAGGGCGCACGTGCTCCACGAAACACTGGCTGGATGTGTACAGGTAGGCAGTTTTTTTTGTTTACACTTTTCTATTCCTTTATTTCTGATTGGTTTCTTGCCTCTATCTAGGAAGCAACACATCGTTTCAATTGAATAAATTTATAGTGTGCACTTCTACGCTGCTGTTTGCTTCATCTGTGCAGTGTGCTCATGAGGTATGGGTAATGTAAAGTTGTGATTGTCCATTAGTGGTCGAGCCACGATCGTTTGCATCTTTTCGTTAGAACGTTAACACTTAATTCTTTCATTGCATCCTATCAGTTAGACTGCTTGCTACCAACAGCTAAGCGATTTTATTTTACTTCAAAAATTTCTTCTTCAAGCAATTTCTTAGTTAAACTTTTAATGTTTTTATAGCTCTTTTTGTTGAATTTGTTTCTCAGAGACGAGATTATTCAGCTTTAACGAAGTACTTGCTGCCAAAATACGAATATGTCCTGTCGATCAGGCTGTCGAGTGTCCAGACAAAGTTGTACGAGACGTATTTGAAAAGGATGTCGTCGGGGGAGATGATGGGTCCCATTGGACGGGGATCCAGGATATTCACTGATTATCAAAACCTCATGAAGATCTGGACTCATCCATGGGTCTTGAAGTTGGATGAGATCAGACAGGAATGCAAGGTCGGTTTGGTTGGCCTCCAGATAAATTCGCTAGTCTTCGTTTTTACTTCTTAAATAGATTCATTTCGCAATAGAAATATGCCTAGTTTTTATATTTTGCCACAGCTTGAAAGGGAACAACGTTTTTATTAGTTATTTTTATTTTTAAATTGAAACAGCGCAATTACAAAGATGATGCAGATTCTTTCATCGATGATTCCAATGAAGAATCTTTCCCTGAGACTGGAGAGAGTGAGTCGGAGGCTGGGTCAGCTTCGGAGGACGACTGGAGACCGAGGAGGAAGACCAGAGCGTCTGCCAACAAGTTTAACATTTTTTTATTTATTCAATTCCGTTTCTTTACATTTTGTGAGTCTGTGATGATTTAAAATAATCAACTAAAATGTGGGATTAAAACTATGAAAATATTTAAATTTATTTTGTTTCATGTAAATTTATCTATTATTTTCTCATAATTTGAAATGTTAATTCATCGATCCAATCCAAATTCCTCATTTGTCATGCAGTGAAGAGTCCAAGGAGAAGAAAGAAAAGAAATGCAAGTCATCGAAGAAGGAAGGGAAAGATGAGGAGATGGACGAGGATGACGACGATGACAACAACGAACATCTCGGAGAAATTGTTAAGGGCTGGAAGTCCCGAAGCAGAAGAGGGGAAGGTCAGTTTATTTTTTCTTATTTTCTTTCTTCATTGGTTATTCCAAATTTAATTTATTTTTTTTAATTGTATAGCTCTTAATTGTAACAAATAACCACACGTCTGGCAAACAAGTAAATAATAATAATAAATAAAATTTGTTTGAAAACTACTTGGCAGCTCCAACACCTGACGAGATAAAGAGGGAGGTTGAGGAGAAGATGAAGGAATCGACGGAAAACAAGATATCAGATGAATGGTGGGCGGACTTCCTGAAACATGAAGATGAATTCGACATCAGCATCAGTGGAAAGTTGATCCTGCTTGCCGAGATTCTCAAACTCTGTGAATCCATCGGAGATAAAGTGTTAGTTGGATTTCATTAGCTTGCCTGCTTTATTTAGACTGTCATATGTAATTTGATACATTATTTGTTGTGTGTTGCTCATGCAGATTGTTATTCAGTCAGTCACTCCTGTCGTTGGACCTCATCGAAAGATTCCTACTGCATTGGGACAAACATGTTGCTGAGGATCCAAGCAAGCAGGTGCCCACTGCATTCATTCTCATCATCACTTAACTCTATATCACCGATACTCATATATATTATATAAATATATATATATATACACACACACACACACACATATATATATATATATATATATATATACAATATTCTATAAATTCTACCGAATGTTTGGCGTTAATATGTTTGTAGTTCGTTTTTTCAATTTTTCTCACTAAAGTTTTTTGGTGAACGTTTAGTTTATTAAAATTCAAAATAAACTTATTTTCCGAATTCATGCTGCAAATAAGGCCATATTTCGATTCTGAATGAATCATCATCAATACTTTCTGCTGTTTATATAGGGAAGTATTGACTTTGTCAAAATGAATTTAGATGGAGATTGACTTTGTCTAAGTGAACTTAGATGGAAATTAGGTGTCAGGTTTTTTTATTGGCTGGTCATCTTCTTTGGTCTCCTTTTCTTCATCGATAGCATCATATTCTTTGTCACTATTTACAATGCTAGTTTTTATTAATTCTTTGTTTTCGTTGTTGGTTAAGCGCCGGGTTGGAAGTGAGGTTGTCATTTTTTGTTGTATATTTATTTTTGGTTTATTGATGTCGATCAGGACTGCTTCTGCAATTCTAAGATGCGTGTAGTTGCTGTTCTGGTATATTACTTTGGTGTTATGGTCGAGGATTTCACGGCTAATAGTGATTGAGTGTGTTGTGTCCAAATGAGATTTGATAGCACCACTCTGTTTATGCATTGTAAGCCTTCTAGTCAATGAGGTAGTAGTAATCCCGATATATGAGTCATGTTGACGTGCACAGCCGTCAAAGGGGCAATTAAATTCGTATATTACGTGATTACGCCTTAGCACAGAGTTATTCCTAGGACTACAGTTGTTTTTCAGTATTAGGTGAGACGTCTTTTTATTGTTGTAATATATTCGGAGTTTAACTTTATTATTTGGGTTGGTTGGTGTGACATTTTTATTGATGATATGTTTAAGAATAGCTTCATCTAC